CCCCCCCCCATTTAAAAACAGTTCTTGTTGAGAAAAACAAGCCTTCTCAGGCATACCGGGAAGAAATGTTTGAACATTTTAAATAAAATGCTTCAATCAGGTGCACTTTAAGCAGAATTACTAGAGACTAGATCTAGGGGGTACAACTCTAAACACTCATATGAAAAAGATCGGTTTACATTTTAATAATCAAATAAGTAGTGAACATAACCAGTAACCTACCATAGCCCATAACAAATACATGTAACGTATTTTATTTTTGTTGTTCATTCATATCTTATTTTACTATTTTATTTATGCATATTTTTGTATCTCTCCAGTTTAAAACAATATGTCTGGTTTACTGTCCTATAGTATACATTGGAATGATTTCAAACCTGTTTTATCCCAATAATTATAAAGGAGTGCCTTGGAAATATGGGTTTACATAAATTGTGATCAAAACGTTTGAGACCCACTGAGATAACTTAGACTAAAGTGAACTATCTAAACACTCAGTCCTTTACCTCACTGAGCTGTAGTTATCAGCCTCTCAGTCTGACTGGAGAGGACTCTCCCTCCACATCATCGTAGAAACATCTTCTTCTTCCGTTAGAGCAGCTAGCACCAGATGCTAATAATAACAGCGCCCTCCCTTTCTCCCTCGCTCGCTCCCACGCTCTCACTTTGACTGTGAGCTGCGGGTGCCAGATAAGCCAACATCCCCCATTTTCATCACTTGCAGCGCCCATCGTACAGGGCAAATGAAAAGTGTAACCGGGAAGAAAAGGGTGTTACATTTACTTAATTATGAATGTTGTTACATCAAGGCCGAAAATTAGGATGAGCACCAACGGTCAAAACAGTTTTCCCTCCCAGAGCTATCAGCGCAGCGCCTCCACAGATCTGGCGCCCTAGGCGAACATCAGGCCAGTAGCGTTTGCATCACACACCCTCACTGACACAGAGACGAGGTATGCACACATTGAAAAATAACTGCTAGCTGTCGTGTTTGCCTGTACAAAATTCAATACTATGTGTATGGAAAGCCTGTAGTGGTGGAGACTGACCACCAACCTTTAGTGACTATCTTAAAGAAGCCCATCCACACAGCCCCTGCCCGTCTGCAGAGAATGTTGCTCCGGCTGCAGAGCTACGACATCAGTTTGGTGTACAAAAAGGGCAAGTATATGTATGTAGCAGACACTCTTTCACGTGCCCCAACCACACAAACATCTCAAAGCCCTGCTGAAAATGATGCTTATGAAGTTATGTCTGTGAGCTACATCTCCACAGCCCGCCTGGAAGAACTCAGAAAGCACACAGCAGAGTACGAAGATCTGCAAGCCCTCAGTGCAGTCATTAATAGAGGGTGGCCCATCCGACATAATCAGCTCCAACCTGCTGTCCGTCTCTTCTTTCCCTACAGAGATTAAATGACCGTAGAAGAGGGAATTGTCATGAAAGGCCACAAAACTGTCATTCCTCAGTCCCTGCACAGAGAGTACATCAAAATAGTGCACAGAGGACACCCCGGCATTGAAGCAACCAAACGCAGAGCAAGAAGCATCATCTTTTCGCCAGAAATGTCTAGAGACATCACTGAGGAGTTGCTTTCATGTGCAGTGTGCAACAGCACCAGATCCCATCAGCAAAAGGAGCCCCTCCAGCTTCATCCTGTGCTAGATCTCCCATGGTCCACAGTGGCAACAGACGCCTTCGAGTGGCATGGAAAACGGTATCAGGTGCTGGTTGACTCATACTCTGGCTGGTTTGAAATCGACCTTCTCCGGGATGTGACCTCATCAACTGTGATAACTAAATTGAAGAGACATTTCTCTGTTTTCGGCACACCACACACTCATCTCTGATAATGCTGGACAGTACACCAGTCAGCATTTCAAGGACTTTGCAAAACAGTGGGACTTTGTTCACATCACCAGCAGTCCTGAATACCCACAGTCAAACGGACTAGCAGAGAGAGCAGTCCGCAGTGCAAAACAGCTGATGGAACGTTCACACAGAGATGGCACAGATGTCTTCCTCAACCTGGTAAATATCAGAAACATTCCCCGTGATCTGACGTTAGGCTCTCCCGCTGAACGCCTGATGTCGCGACAAACACGTGCAGCCATCCCTGTGAGCACCAAACTGTTACAGCCAAACCCAAAAGATGCACAACTAATCAGAACACAACTCCTCAACAAGCGGCTCATCCTAAAGCGCCACTATGACATCTCAAGTTCTCCTCTGAAACCCCTGGCAGAGGGACAAGTGATCAGGATGCAGACCCCAAAAGGATACGATCGGCTTGGCGTTGTCAAGGAAGTGAGCAAGAAACCACGCTCTTACATAATCCAAGCCAACGGGACTTCATACAGACGGAATCGTCGTCACATCATTCCTGTTCCCGAGCCGTCGCCCCAGCAACAGCAGCCTCAAGATTTCGACCCTCACAACACCGACCCCTCTATGATGGACTGTGTACCCCACACACCACACACACACCACACACACCTGAGAGAAACAGCAGGCTGACACAGAACAGTTCCCCTTCACTACCAAGACACACATCACATTTCCCTTGCAACAACAGTGACACACCATACATAACACGATCAGGTCGCACATGCAAACCAAACCCTAAATATGTGCAGTAACACTGTTGGACAATCTTGTTAAAGTGATATGTTTAGTCATTTCCTGTTACCTGGTAAGGTATTTAGTAATGGTGTATTGTTTGTGTCACCAAATGCTAAAGGAATGTTCAATATCATCTGCCTTAAATGTTATTTACTTTCAGATAGAATCATAAGCTAAAGAGAAGGGATGTAGATCATTCTCATATGATTAAGTTTGTCCTTTGCAGTCCACCGTAGCTGGTGCGCCACCCGGTGACGTGTTAAGGTAATAGGCATTCAGTTGTTAGTCGGCATGCAACGTACATGTTCACTGTACATGCTGTGGTCATAAATAAAGCCACCACTTGCCTATCAGCCTATGCATTGTGTATTCCTTGTACATACACACATGCATGTATTAAGAAGTATCGACAACTTCTACAGCATGGACTGGCACCACATTACCTGTCTGAGTTGTTGCACCGCCATGCTCCAGCTAGAGCATTGAGATCAGCTCAGCAGAATATGTTGGTGGTTCCTCGGTGCAGGAAAAAAAACAGGTGACAGGGCCTTCAGTGTTGCAGCTCCCAGACTGTGGAACAGCCTCCCAGCACATATCCGGACTGCTGAGTCTATTGAACTTTTTAAATCTCAGCTAAAAACTCACCTCTTTGCACTGGCTGTTAATACTAGTTGAACATTACATTTTTACATTTGTATGTGTTTGTATATGTTTCTAGTTATTGTGCTTTTTATCTTGTTTTTAATTATTGTTTTATTATTGTAGTCCCATTGTGTTATTTTATATTGTAGTTATTATGGGCTCAGAACAGTCTCATAATACACACATGCACACAGAAGGATTCAAACTTGTATTTCCGGATTCATACTTGTGTTTTTCAATGCACACACAAATGTATTCCGTTTCATATACATGTAAATAAAATCCAAATACAGAAAAAAGTTTTACATATGTATTTTTGATCCTAATTTATTAGTTTCCCGTTTAAATCCCCTGCACCTGCAAACACAACCAGCTTTCTGTGCACGGATCGCTGTGCATTCGTGTGTGGGTTTTTTGAGACTCCCCTGACGGTCAGCCGATTCGTACTTGTAATTTTTTCTATCTATAGCCAATCAGATGTCTCCTTCATTCTAAGCCAATCACATGAGCGCGCCCCCACGAGGGTAAGATTACTTCATATACGCATTTTGCGCAGTCCGGTCAGCTCGCTAAACAGTGGGCGGAGCATCAGGTGATCATGCAGAGCAGCGTGTCTCCATCAGACTCAGCAGCTGATCTGATCTCTCTCTTTCGTCCGGTTATACTTCACTCGCATTTATGTCCATATCGATCAGATCCAGCTCTCCTGATCGGCCTTTATAGAGAGCACCGATCAAACTATTAAGAGTGAATATCAGCCGATAATGACCGGCGGGGCTCCCCCCGTTAACAGGTCACTGTCTAGCACTGGCTTCGTAGTGCACTGATCGATTAGGCTAAGCTAGCCTGTAGCTGCTCCCTCCACACTCACAACAACTTCATATATCGACATAAATAAAGCAGCTGTATTCGCCATACAGGAAACACACATTTAAAACGGTTTTGCCTGCCGTTTTTGTGTAAACAAGCATTCATCAATGGTTTGGAAAGTGGCGCTGTACCTTAATAATATAAAGGCTTGTATTTGCGTGCATTTCCTGTTCGGAAAGTGTACTGAGAGTGGAGGGTGTCCTCCTGAGATTAGCCGGACTGCGCAAAATGCGTACATGAAGCGCTACGTCATGAACGCAAGAAATCTACCCTCATGGGGGCGCGCTCATGTGATTGGCTTAGAATGAAGGAGACATCTGATTGGCTATAGATAGAAATAATTACAAGTACGAATCGGCTGACCGTCAGGGGAGTCTCAAAAAACCCACACACGAATGCACAGCGATCCGTGCACAGAAAGCGGTTTGTGTTTGCAGGTGCAGGGGATTTAAATGGGAAACTAATAAGTGAGGATCAAAAATACATATGTAAAACTTTTTTCTGTATTTGGATTTTATTTACATGTATATGAAACGGAACACATTTGTGTGTGCTTTGAAAAACACAAGTGTGGATCCGGAAATACAAGTGTGAATCCTTCTGTGCGCATGTGTGTATTATGAGACTGTTCTGAGCCCATAGTTATTGCCTGTACAGCACTTTGGTCAACTGAAGGTTGTTTTAAATGTGCTATATAAATAAATAAAGATTGAGATTGAGATTATCATATGAGGTTTGACGGAAAACATCTACGCATCCGAGCAATCTGTTACTTATTTATTGCTCAAACCTAGTCCAAGGGTCACTGAGGTGATACTTCACTGCCTTTTTCCATCAGTAGTGCATGTGTTTACCTCTATCTGTCTGTCTGTGTGGTGAGGATTTGTGACTGCAACACTCATAGGAGCCATGGGTTGGAAGGAGTCGTCTAAAAAGAAGAAGATTATTGTAAGTACTTGCTTTGATTTGTAATTGATGGCAAAGGGAAAAGCATAAATATGTTTTTGTACACTAAGTTCTAGAGTTTGAGCTTTATATAATCCATGATTTGGCTAATTCATGTGTTTTCTCTTATATGGCTTTCAAAGGCAGCTTAAAACATGTGTTGACCCAACAAGGGAGTTGAGTCCTCAATCTAAGAAAGGTAACACTTGAATATTGGCCAGTTATCAGTTTGTTCAGGTAAATAAAGATGGCTTTAAGTTCCAAATCTAAAAATGAGACAGCATTCTGTCACATGCATCCATCAGCCACTGAACAGCAACACATGTATTATATTATATTTATCAGTAGATGTTGGTAGAACACTGCAGTCTTTCTTTTGGATATTACTGCTAAAAGTAGTATCTTGGCGCAAATGAGAAGAATCCGCTTTACTCAGTTTAAAATGACTTTACCTATTCCTCTAGCTCTATCTCTATTATCTTCTCTGGGTAGACTGCGCCTGGGTGTGAACGGTCTCTGCACCGTCCACTTTATCTGCTAGCTTTGAGTTTTCTGCCACATGTGTGTCACCTCGAGGCTGAAACAGAACAGAGACTTCCTCGATGCAGCATCAGCAATGGTGTGCTGGAAAGGAGTTGATCTCCCTCCTCCGAATATCAGCAGTTGGGTTCATCTGCCGAACCTTTCCCTGGATCGACAGGACCATGGCATCTTGAGGAGTGGGAGAAGGTGACCTGATGCTGCACAGTGGACAAAGCAGAGGAGACTTGGCCAAAACACACTTTGTGACACCAACAGCCATTTATCTGAGCTTCTGGGAAGGCATGTTGAGGAAGGTGCTTCCAGGAGGCGACTAGAAGCCTTGCAGGACTTTTGGCACCACCTGCATCACCACCTGCTTCACCACATGTCGTGGGTCAACCTGTTTGGAGCTGGAGGCAGACTGCACCGCTCTGTAAGACGCCTTGCCGACTCCTGAGCCAGGTTCATCAGCTTTGGGTGAAGAAAACAAGGAGAGATGTCATCTGGAGGCATGAGAAGCCTTCTGGCTTCAAACCTAACGTCTCTCAGTTTTATGCTTTTTTTCGCCACACAAGCTGGAGAAGAGGCTTGGCCTCATCTGAAGGCGCAACAAGTGAATCCCCAGTGCAATCTTGGTCTTGTAGGACTCGATATGCCAGCAGATCTGCAGAGACAGCTTGTATATGGATGTGTCGAACACCCTGATGGGTCTGTGTACATGCCTCTGCTTCCATCAATGAAAGGCATAGATATTTTGTTACTGGATATCTCTTGCTGGAATCTCTCGCTGACTGTCAAACCGTCCTGGGTTCAAGCAGGAGTCACAGAGCGTGGAGAGTTGCCATTGATAAGCTGTTGATGTATATCAGCACAGAACAGACTTATGTATCGGGACAATGAAGATTTAACAACCATTTGGACTACCTATCTTGTAAATGTATTATCTCTTCGATTTACACACGGCATCTATTGCACGTCTGTCCGTCCTGGGAGAGGGATCCCTCCTCTGTTGCTCTCCCTGAGGTTTCTCCCATTTTCCCCCTTAAACTGTGGGTTTTCTCTGGAAGTGTTTCCTTGTACGATGTGAGGGTCTAAGGATAGAGGGTGTCGTTTTTTCTCATACTGATATTCTGAACAATCTGTGCTCATTGTATTAGCTGTAAAGTGTCTCTACTGTAGGCTATTTTTATTATATTTACAGCACTTTGGCTCGACCAAAAATCGTTTATAAATGTGCTATATAAATAAAACTTGATTTGATTTGATTCAATAGCTCAGCGATAGACTGGACAGTACTCAAACAGAGTTCATCCCACAGGCAAGAGAACAGTGTGTTCAGGTCGCTGAATGCAGTCAGACAACTAACAATTGAACCAAGTTGCTTAAAATAACATTAGACTACATCAAACAGATAAAAAGTCTGTCTTAGGCAGTGATGGAACAAGTATTCAGAGAAGTACTAATAATATACTTGAAAAAATACTCCATTACAAGTAAAAGCCTTGAATCTGATATCTTAGTAAAGTATGTATGCATCTATGCATGATGCAAGTTTGATTGGGAAAATGTACTTAGTAAAAGCACTCATAGCAGAAGAAATACTTTAAAGTATTTAAAATAAATTATTAGTATGTATGAAGAAATGCGGCAAATCTTGACATTTGAAAAGATGGAATTGTAAAATGTCTTAAACAATTACTATAATTGCTGGCAATACAGCCAACCCACTCATTGTTTAAGGTGTACCTAAATACAATGTTGGACAGTTTAATCTACAAAACATGTCTTCATTAGTTTAATGTGTTAAATATATAATACAATATTTCACTAGAATAGAAGTTGAGTGGCACAGAAAGTAACAATTAAAATCCCTCAAAGTACCTACAAGTTGGACTTAAGTGCAGCACTTGAAAACATGTACTTTATTACATTTCACCACTAAGGCATTTAAAAAACAAAACTGAAATGAATTTGTGTCTGTGTGTCATAGATATGTCTCTTGGCTGTGTCCATCGTGACCCTGATTCTCGGGCTTGGACTTGGACTTGGACTGGACTTGAAGAAATGTCAAAACAAAGGTGCTGTCTGACACACACACACACACACACACACACACACACACACACACACACACACACACACACACACACACACACACACACACACACACACACACACACACACACACACACACACACACACACACACACACACAAACAAACAATCCAAATATGTATGTATGTCCATTCACATGCTCAATGTTTTACTGTGATATGTTGTTTCAACAGTTATTTTATCACTTTATTTAAAAAAAAATGTTTTATTCTATTTTATCTTTATTTTTGACCTTGTGTGAATCCTGTTTTCACTCTGACCCTGTTGCTGCTATAAACGCCTGCATTTCCATCTTATCTTATCTATCTTACATGTCTCTGCACTCACTCACACGCACATCACTCACATTTTCATTCACCTGAAATGCATTTTTCTGACATTGTAAAGCAAACTCTCCTTGTTCAGAACTCTTTGTTTCTCTGACACAGCATTTGGTGACCTAGTATCTCCCCTCTGCTCCTCCCTCTCCGTCAAGAAAAATATCCATGCCACAATATTTGGGTTTTATCAACAAAATAGTCCAAAATGACACTAACGGCACGTCCACACAGCAGCGTGCGTTGAAGCTTCCAACGCTTCTGCCCATTCACTTTGAATGGGGTGACGTCACTTTTAGCCGAACTGTATTTTGGGAAGCGACGTGGAGCGTTGCTGGCATTGCTCGCTTCAAAAGTTGAGCAATGTTCAACTTTTGACGCCTCGATGGAGAAGTCAGCCAATCGAATCATATGCCAGTACAAGCTCTAGCCAATCAAACCGCGTGCTTGTGTGTCTGGGGCGGGAGATTCATGTGATTGGTTGTTGGTCGAGTGTCAGACACGCCCGCCGGCAAGTGTCAACGCACGCCGCTGTGTGGACGGGCCGTAACTCTGACTCACTTGTTGGAGTTTGACGCCAGAGGCATTCACATTTGGCACTGATTGTGCACACCAAGTCCAAATATATGATTCATGCTTTAGGGTGCAATTAGTAACACTTAACAAGCCCTGAGCATGTCATGACTACACTTCATTGGTGGTATTTAACACCGCTGATTGAAGCCAGAGGTGTTCCATGTACTTCCTGCTCTACATTCGCAGGATCGCTGAACCAGATGAACAATATCCGAACGTATGACTTCATATAAGTAAGCGCTGAGTGGTCTGCTAAATCATCAGAGATGTATGTGGTTTTTCAGCTTTTCTGATGATTTAGTAGACCACTCAAAGAGCCAGACAAATGAATGCATCTCATGGGGAGGTCAATAAAGCAAGTGAGCTCAGGAGATCTGTATTAAGTGTTCCTGCACACTCACTATTTCCACACTTTGTGCTGAGTCAGAGTAAGGCTTTGTCTTCCTTTGGCTCCCTGGTCATGTGTATGAGTATGGGTTAAGTCAATGGCTACAGATAACACTGTCATAAATCCAGGTGCAACGCAAAGCATGCAGTCCCGTGCACCGTGTACTGTTCAGAGCAAAACAGGGTTGTGTTTACATCATACATCAGGTCATCATAAAGGTGTATGATATCATAAAGGTTATAAAAAAAAAGAATTATAAAATATATATTGTCCTTTTACATTTTAAGATCGTCATAAAGGCTGCTTGATACTAATGATCTCTTTCAAAAATTATAAAATATATATTGTCCTTTTACATGTTAAGATCGAGTTGAGTGTGAAGGCACTTCTTTCAGGAGAAAACACATTGAGGACCTCTTCTCCTTAGCGTATTGACATATTTTAGATTGTTGCTTTTATTGCATTTAAATTGTCTATTGTTTTTTACTTGTACTTGTTTTATGGTGTGCGAGCAGTGCTGTGTTTTTTTGTATGTTTAGTTTGTTTATTTGACTGTACAGCACTTTGTTCTGGAGGTTTTATAGGCTTTATAAAAAAAAGATGTATTGTATTAAATGACAAAACTACAAACATTCATATATTTTATACATTTTTGACCACCAAATGTGCTGCCCAGGGTCAACAGCTTAGCTTTTTTTAATCCTATTACTTTCATAAATCCATAATTCAATGTGATTTTTGTAAATAAGGGTCCATCGTATTATTTCTAATCACAATGTGCTGTGGTCAACAGCAAAGTGTATGTGGATAGTAATATTTTTTTGTATTATTATTTTTATTAAACCTTTATTTATACAGATAAATCCCATTGAGATCATTGATCTCTTTTTCAAGGGAGACCTGCTCAAGTAGTTCCACATGAAACATAAAAACATAAATAGAACAACAAAAGGACATCATACAGCATCATTTACATAATTATCCACATAAACAGGTACCAATAGCTTCCGATTGAGTAGCATCCAACCGAGCTTTAATAACATTTAGTGGCACCAGATTGTTCAGTTTCCATTTCAATTGCAGACTATTCCAAGACAGAGGAGCTGCACATCTAAAAGCTGTCCTCCCTAAGACAGTCCTAGCAGTTGGCACATTTAACAAAACCACAGCATTCGATCTCAGGCAGTAGCCACTTACAATTTTCCGTGAGATCAGGGAGCAGATATAAGATGGAAGTTTCCCTAACATGGCTTTGTATATAAAAATGTACCAGTGACTGAGCCTCCGTACAGTTAGTGAAAGCAAACCAGCCCTTGCATACAGGGTACAGTGATGGGTTAATGCTTTACAGTTTGTGACAAATCTTAGTGCACTGTGATACGCAGCATCTAACTTGACCAGGCAATTAGCAGGTGCATTCATATACATCAAATCACCATAGTCCAGCGCAGGTAGAAAGGTCACAATGACTAGCCTTTTCCTGTCCTCAAGCGAGAAACAGGACTTGTTCCTGTAGAAGAAACCTAGCCTAACCCTCAGCTTTTTAAGCAGGTTATTGACATGAAGTTTAAAAGTGAGACAATCATCAAGCCAGATACCAAGGTATTTGTAACAGGTAACCACTTCAAGTTTTATTCCTTGCGTAGTTACAATATCCAAAACAGGCTCTGGTGTCTTTTTAGCTTTAGAAAAGAGCATTACCTTGGATTTCTCAACATTTAAAAGAAGCTTTAGTTCAGAGAGCTGAGTCTGAATAATGTTAAAAACAGCCTGTAATTTAACACCAGCCTCCTTAATGGAGGGACCTGCACAGTACATCACGGTATCATCCGCATACAAATGTAAAGTAGCTTCATCCACATTTCCACTCCAGAGCCGGCCCATTCAGCCATGTTTCCGGCTCCAGAACCGGACCTTACTGCCATGGTTCCGGCTCCAGAACCGGTCCACACACCCATGTTTCCGGCTCCAGAACTGGACCTTACAGCCATGTTTCCGGCTCCAGAACCGGACCTTACAGCCATGATCCAGGCTTCAGTTCCGGCCCCTCAGCCATGGTTCCGTCTCCAGAACCAGCCCACACAGCCATGGGTCCGTCTCCAGAACCAGCTCCAGCAGCCATGATCCAGGCTTCAGTTCTGGTATCCACAGCCATGGTTCCGGCTCCAGAACCGGCCCATACAACCATGGTGCCGGCCCCAGTTCCAGCCGTGGTTCCGGCTCAAGTACCGGGCCCAGCAGCTATGGTCCCAACTCAAGTTCCTACTCAAGTCCCAATTCAAGTCCCTACTGAAGTGCCGTTGGAGGTTCCGCTGGGGGTCCTGCCAACTCCATGTCTTGTCCCGTTGGGGGTCCCGCCGACTACTCTCCTGCCGGGGGTCCTGCCAACCCTATGTCCTGTCCCGTTGGGGGTCCCACCGACTACTCTCCTGCCGGGGGTCTTGCCAACCCTATGTCCTGTCCCGTTGGGGGTCCCGCCGACTACTCTCCTGCCGGGGATCCTGCCAACCCTATGTCCTGTGCCGATGGAGGTTCCGCTGGGGGTCCTGCCGGCTCCATGTCCAGTCCCGTTGGAGGTCCCACCGACTACTCTCCTGCCGGGGGTCCTGCCAACCCTATGTCCTGTCCCGCCGACTGCCCTCCTGCTGGGGGTCCTGCCAACTCCTGGTCATCTTCCGTGAGGGATCCTGCCGAGGCCTGTCCCACCAGCGCCGGTTCCTGTCCGGCCGACACCGGGTTCTGCCCGGCCTCCGGTACTGTCCCGTCAGCGCCTTCCTGCCCGGCCCCCTGAGAGCCGCGGTCAAGGTCTTCGCCCTTGAGCCCGGCCCCCTGAGAGCCGCGGTCAAGGTCTCGAGCCCCTCCCCCTGAGAGCCGCGGTCTTCGCCCTCGAGCCCGGCCCCCTGACTCTTCCTGCCGCTGCCTTCGCCCTCGGGCCCGGCTCCCTGACTCTTCCTGCCACTGCCTTTGCCCCTCCATAACCCCCACCTCGGACTCTGTCTTGCTCCCGGGCCATCCGCCCGAGTCCCCCTTCTCGGCTTCTGCCTTGCCCCCGGGCCGTCCGCCCGAGATCCCTTCCTGGTCCTCTGCTGTGCCCCTGGGCGGTCATCTCAGTCCCGTCCTCCTGACCCCCTCCACCCACCCTGGTGGCTTAGTGATGCCGAACCCTAACCCAATTGCCGAACACATGGACTTCTCTTTGGAACTCCATAACCTCGTTGTCCAGCTGGTGGTCACGAAACCACAGGAACCGAAGGTAGTCATGATGATCTTCTCTGACTAAGAAGCTGTGGAACATTTGCTGGATGTCTGGCTGCAACTGGCTCAGTCCTGCAGCGGATGAGGACCCCAAGTAGATTGTTGTTGAGGTCTGGTTCTCGAAGAAGCACATTGTTAAGAGAAACGTTATTGTACTGTGCACTTGAATCAAAAACAACCCTGATTTGTCCTGGTTTCTGGGGATGGTAGACACCAAAACTTGGTAAGTACCAGCACTCTTGATGCTCTTCCAATGTGGGAGCAGGTTCTGCATGCCCATTGCTGAAGATTTTATTCATAAAGTCCACGAAGTGACCCTTCATCTCAGGTTTCTTTGTCAAAGTCCTGCGGAATGACATGAGACGACTGAGAGCTTGTCCCCGATTGTTAGGAAGACGTTGTCTAGGAGTGTGAAAAGGGAGGGGGG